CCCCCCCCCCCCCCCGGTCTTCGGCACATGACAGTACTGCAACATCATACAAGTTACATCTTCTATCTTCTTGTGATGTAGCTGGCAACACTTGCACTCACCTGCCAGGGGATTCTGTCGCAGGTCCACGATCATTAGCGACAGGTTACCCGAGCGCAGCAGGCTCAGCCACAGTCGCACGCCAATGTTGGACAGGCCACAGTGCTGCATGTCAACAGCTGCAACACCACACACATGTACACACACACGCACCCCCCCCCCCCCCCCCACACACACACAAGTGCATGCGCACACACAGGTGCACACACACACACACATACACTCGTGAACAGGACAAAATCCAGGCAAAGTCAATACCTAGCATAGTTACAGACACCAGACTATCACTAAAATCCAAGATAACTAGCCAGCACATATGTTCCACTGACCAGCCAAGTAACACGCTACTAAACTTGCCGTATTCAGAGTCCCTGAATACAAGTCGCACCTTTCAACACTAAACTTCTCGGACAAAGAAGGGTATGTGACTTACAATCGAGTCATGAACTGACATAAGGAAGTGGTGTATTTTACAGACAGACGAGTGTAGATAATAGTGAAGAGTCAAGGAGGTCATGCCCAGCAAAGCATGGTGTTGTGCGTAGCACAGGGGGGGGGTAGTGCGAGGTCACGTACCGTCTATACATGGCGACAGACAGGGGAAGGACTATGTCGTGAATGGGTGAAAGGATAACATGATACAGGATAGGCCACTGATGTGAACATACTGAAGCAGTATGGCTCAGGCCAGAAAGTGGAGGTGCGACTCATAATCGGGGAAATACGGCACGGTCGTCCCTCGTTAATCCAGCACTTAATAAACCAGCACCCTCTATAAACCAGAATAATTTTCCGCAACCAAAATGTCCTTTTCATGCACACTGCAGCAAATAAATCAGAATTTCTAATCCAGCCCCCCCCCCCCTCCCTAATCCAGCACCCTCCCTGATCCAGCACCCTCCCTAATCCAGCACCCTCCCTGATCCAGCACCCTCCCTAATCCAGCACCCTCCCTAATCCAGCACCCTCCCTAATCCAGCAGAATTTCGTAGCACAAATGTTGCCGGATTATAAAGTGACCACTGAATGTACCTTTAATCCAGATGTCATCCTGCAAGGTGTCCATGATCAAATTGACGCCCCGGTCGCCAATTAGCGGGTTTCCATTGAGCGTGATGCGACGCAGACCGCCCACGCTGTCTGTGCTGGCCTGCACCTGTCGTAAGCTGGTCTGCCACAGGTGGGCATAGCGCCAGTTGGCGTATTGCTACATGTGCAGAGAGAGAGAGACAAGCAGGCAGACAGACAAATGAACGGCTACACATAATTTTAAGTACATACACAGAAAACACACAAAACAGGTGTACGGTCTAAACTTTCATTTCCGAGGCTGGTGAAAGACATGTAGCTTGGATTGCTACCTTGTTTAGGCATGTCTTAGTAATACATATTATTATAGTGGTCCGTTGCACAAAAAAACTGTGCAGTTTGTCACTAAAACCAATCACCGTCACATGGCCATCACAGAGCATTAAGACCAGTATCCTTTTACGACATACCTCAACTAGCTTGGCCAGATGTGGCATGGCTTTCCAGGTGAGGCCGCATGCCGTCAGGTCCAGGCAATGCAGTGAGCGCGTGCATTGCAGGGCCGTGCAGAGAACTGAGGCAATGTTTGTGATTGGGACGAGCACACAGACAAAGAGCACAACTAAAGTGGTACGCATAACTCCTCCAATGCCTTCCTGGGCAGGAACGTCACTGATTGGTTATCTCCTAGCAACAAGATTGACCGGGCCGGTTCTAAAACTAAGTACTTAAGTAGTGGGTATTACATAGTCACAGTGGAGACTGTTCTGTTATGCTGTACATGCATTGGCTAATGTAATTTTGGCCAGCAGCTCCAGCTAACTGTGTATGCGATGGAGGTTCCCCCAAAGGGCATAGACCAGCTGCACAGTGACCATGCATGATGCTGAATGTTGATTTCCAACTGTCACTTACCCTCTGCACCGCTGTCTCCAATGCGGCAATGGGCCAGCGACAGGCTCTGCAGGCGAGAGGACTTGGTTAGGCCCTATGTGCAGCAAAAGCACACATCGAATACATACACGCGTGTATAGCTGATGGTCATCTATCCCCTCGTACAGGGCAGAATTCATGTACGGAACGCACGGCAAGCGCTCGCACAGCTGTGTGCATCGTATGATATTGAGCAGATCGAAATCAAAGAGTGTAGTCCAGGCGTACACTATGCGGGCGTACACTATGCAGGCGTACACTATGCAGGCGTACACTATGCAGGCATGCACTATGCAGGCGTACCGGGTAGCAGGATAGTCTAACTCACTCTAAGACCATGATTCAGAAACAAGAGGTACGTGACCCAGCCTAACTACCAGGTTAAAGTCCTGCTAGGACGTGGAAGGAATTTTCCAACCGTGTTGCAATCCAGAGTCAAATGGGAATGCATGCATGCGGCAAAAGAGAGCTGGAGCTATTACAAGTTGTCACAGCACCTCATCGCTACAGCACTGCAACTGACACTAGATATACAAGGGCTGACGGTGCCCCATGCATACAACTCAAGCCCTGAAAACAAACATTCTCTACGTGGTTGTCCTGGTAATGACAACGTGATTTTTGAATAATGCCGTCGTAACCCAGAACAATGGAGAGATGTTTATTACTACAGGTACGAGCATTATTTTATTTTATTTTTTAATTTCGGCCTGTTGGCTACTATCATTAATTTTCGTCTTGGGACTCTTGGGGATTTGACAAGGGGAAGTAGCCATGTAGGGGCGCGAGCCCGCCTTTCGGTACTGGGAGTTACAGCTCGCTCGACTCGACTATGAGTGCAGAGGACCCACACCTTGATCTGGTGAGCTGCGTCGTGGGGATTTTGCAGTCAGATGTGCGACTGCGGGGCTCGAACCCGCGACCTCTCGGGTCACAGACAGATGCCGTACTCAATGTACCACCGGGGAGCATTAAAAATGCTCATAGTGTCAGTTACTTTGAAGTGCTTCACTCCATTGGAGAGAGGGTGAGCAGCAGCAGAACATATCACAACATGCATGGGCCACTCAGTTACCTTAGCCAGCAGTGTGATGTCATCAAAGCGGACCCACAGTCCTTCAAGACTCAGTGACGTGACAGCTGGTGAGACGCGGATAAAGCTGCCAAGAGACCTGGTGAGAGTCGTAACACGTACACACATGCCAGAAAGGTAACACGCACATATAGGATAAAGTTACTCAATCCGCGTGAGGGCCTTTGCTGTTTGCGTTATGCAGAGCTCACCGACTTGTCAGTTTGAGCACTCTGGCAAGGTACGTTCGGGCCTGGTTTAAATCTGGCGTAGGAATATTTATTTTAATTGCTACCAGGCTCGGCCTCATTTTCTCTGTGCTGCGCTGATGAGTCCACACAGGACAGTTCTGTCCGCAGATTGACTATAGGATAAAAGTAGAACTAGCCAAAAGTCAAGGCCAAGACTATGTTCCCAGTATCAACCTTACGTGTAGCGCATCAGCCCACGTGCTGCATGGTATATCCACGACGTGTTGGATTTAACTTCAAATCGCCATAGAGAGCACAGTGCATTCGTGAATCAGACATGGCACTCAGTGACTGCATATTTCATGAGGTTGGACTCATTTGCCACTAGTGTGCTAGCGCACATCGGTCCATATGTCCTTCATACAGGTGTGTACTGTGCAAAGATGTCAGCAACCAAAGCCATGTTCAAATAGGAGTGTGATGCAGACAGTTCCATTTTCATCGTACATGTGCTTCATTACCTCTTGCCTGTACTCGCACAGTTTGTCAACATTTCCGTAAGCTAAGGATACACCGTGACACGCAGATGCAGACATTGACACACACACGCATACACACGCACACGTATAGACTGTACGTGCACAAGTGCACACACACCTCAGACCTCAGACATGCCCATCGCGGAAGCGATGATAGCGAACAGCTATGTTAGACATAGCAACTTGTGCTGGGATTACACCATTCAACAGCTTGCAAGGCTGATGAATTGACACACACACACACACACACACACACACACACACACACACACACACACACACACACACACACACACACAAGTGCACACATACACACGGAGTAAGAACACACTCGTCACACGCACCTGCACAGCAGCTGTGTGACAGCGGAGCGGTCCATGCGCGATGCCGCCACTTGATAGCCCGCAGTGCCCGGCTTTACACCAGCGGGTGCACTTTGACCTACAGCAGCAGCACAGGACATCACATCACACAGACCACACAAACACAAGTAAGGAAGGTTCGCACATCCGCGGTACTACCGGCTTACAATTGTGTTGAGAAACACAACCAGCTTAAAGAAGTTTCGCTTGTGCCAGGCCACCAGCATTCCTGGTTATACGAAGATGGCAGATGAGCATTCTCAGCCCACACACAGCACTAGTCTCTCCTCTGCAGAGCACACGGGCACCACGCGGGGCCGACAGGTGAGAGGCCGGGAGGAAGGCATAACCGTGCCGTCATAGCCGGGAATCTTACACAATGAACCTTCTACTGCCGTGGACACTGAAATCCGATGGGATGACCTGGGTCGGCGCTCTTACTGCTTTTAGCGCGCACACGCACTGTAGATCACGTACACACTGTAACAATGGACCAGTAGTGCTCGCGGCAGCAAGGCCAGCGCCCAGTGGCCGCTTGACCTCCCAACGGATTTCGATGTCTGCTACGGTATAATCCCCCCCCCCCCCCCCCCCCACACACACACACCTTTCCCTGCCCATTGGTACACAGTAGGGGGTAAGCAATTCGTATGTACCTCTTCTGGTCTTTCCCATCTGTTCCCGTGTCGAGTCGAATGCAATCTTCACCGTCTCCAGTGACTTGTTCATCTGCAGTGCGCGGCATAGCGGTATCCAGTCCGTTGGCCGAATGCGCTCGCCGCTGAGCACCACCTCTGTATCCTTGCTACGCGACATCACCATGGCTAGCGGACACGCGCCGTGGCTGCTGCAGAAGTCCTCGTAACACTGCGAGAAGTCGTACGCCGCCCGGCGACGCTGCAGCGTTGACGGCATCATCTTGTTCACGAACACTCCTACCGGTACACGCTGATATCAATCACTACAACCTACAAGTGACTTCAGATTATCACAGAGAAAATACTTGACAGCATCGGTTCGAAGCCGTTTTCTTTGTTGAATGAAGCAATTCGTTTCCTATTTTCCCAAACATCCAAAGAGGCAAGCATTGAGCAACAGCTTCGTTGAAGCCCTCACAAAACAGCTACACTATTGGCAATCAAGTCGATATGAGACGAAAGCACTGTTGACTGTTCTAGCATGATCGCTTGCTTTTTTCTGTGGGTGGAAGAATCTTTGCTCAGTTTGATTTTGCCAAAATACTACAAAAAACATTTCAGTCGAAAACAGACCAGTGCATGTCACGTGCACATGTTGTACACGTCACGTGCACGTACATAGTCATTGTACGTGCGGAGATTCACCGCGATCCGGGAATCCGTCGGATGGGATCGCGGAGCCGGAGAAGCGGCTGGCCTATGCTACAGACAGTAGTGCCGTCGATCCATGATCTACATGACTGATTGTACAAAGTCATGTATGTAGATGTGCCCCTAGGCTCTACAGCCCTTTCCCTCACCTCCGGCCCCGTTCGATCCCGTATCATGCACCCCCCCCCCCCCCCACCCTCACCCATATACAGTGTTGGCCAAATGTTTGGGCCTACCCAAGAGAAAACAGGTTTCTAGAGAGAATCTTTGTATAATGAACGAACAAAACTACTGAAGTTGGCTAGCTACCGAAGAGATCATACTCTGATCCATCTTTCGAAGGCTAGATAGTTGTAGAATAAAATAAAGTCAATTTAATCGAAAAAGCGTAGGCCCAAACTTACGGCCAAAATTAAAAAACAGCAAAATCCAGGTGACTAGCTAATAGATATCAACTAAATCTAATCGAAATGATTTGTTTCCATGCTAAGAACCTATCAGTGAACTGTTTGCCCAATTTTACCACTTAGTAGGTCCTCTCTTTGCCTTGACGACAGCCTCCATGCGCGCCGGGATGGTCGAGACGGGTTTCGCGTACTTGTCCCTGCTGATCTTCCGCCATGCTGTCTTGCACACTTCCCCAGGCTGTGTTTCTGTTGATGGGACTTGGGGAACATCATGGCAGAGACAATTCAGCATTTCCCACAAATCCTCAGTCGGATATAGGTCCGGCGACTGCGTCGGCCGCCCCAGTGCGCGATATGGGCGGTCCGCCGATTACGCCTTTATCGCGTGTGCGCGCGCAAATACATCATCCAGACCGCGCAACACATCGACCATGGACGGCTGCATACTGTTCTGCAGTATTCCTTGGTATTGGTCTGCTTTCATCGCTCCGTTAACGTTGTAGAGCCGCCCGACCCCGTTGCCGGCGACGCGGTCCCGTATCATGATGCAGCCACCACTGTGCTTGACTGTGCCAACAGTACACTCTGGCACAAGTTGTTCACCAGGTCAACAACTGAAATACACCACACAATCTGATGCTCTCATATTGAATTTAAACTCGTGGGGCCACAGTACGTTGCTCCACTGGTCCACAGTACATCCTTGGTGGGCCCTGGCAAAGACCAGTTGTTTCTTCAATTTTCTGGTTGATATACGGGTTTTTTGTGGTCCTGCAGCCTCTCAGGCCAGCTTTCAGCAGTCTGGGACGTTCCGTACGGCTCGGGACATGTTTGCCACGGTTTTGCACCAGTCTGTCTTGAGCTCCCACGACAAAGTCCTTCTGCTAGCCAGAGTTATCACCTTGAGGTACCTGTCGTCACGAGCAGACGTCAGCCTTGGATGACCAGAACGAGCCTAATTCTTGCAGCTTTGCATCACTGCGAACCTGGTGACAGTTTTCTCACCGTGCGCGCACAAACGCGGGTCAAATTGGCGATATCATTCGAAGAGAGGCCATCATTATTCATCTTCACTGTCAACTCCCTCACGTCAGAGCCAAAGGTGCTTGGATCGACCCATGGTGAAGGAAAAATGTCAAAAACAGCAACTAAAATTTGTTGTTCGTGTCGTGAGGACCACCACGTGTTGTGCAGTTGAATTTCCCGCTGGTTTTGCATCACACATTTTTGTACCGTACGGTACCGTACAAATTCAAATATTTTGGCCAAAAATTTGGGCCTAGCTTTTTCATGATTTTCACCTGAAAATTTGTTTTGAAGCGCACGTGCGCTGTAGAAAACCAGGGAGTCGTGAAAGCCCGGGAGAGGACACGGCACACATTCCCAGAAAACATCTTTGCCTCGCGCTGCCGGGGAACGCTGCGCCAGGGAACGGTGTAGCGAGGCAAGGAAATTATTATTTTCGAAAATTGTGATGTCTTCTTGAAATACTAATTGGGACATTCTCCGATTTATCTTAGAGCACGGAGACGATTTCTCCGTCGAGTCTTCTAATCTCTATTTTCATCCTCAATTCTTCCAGCTGCCTCACTCATTCTCTCTCAGTTTATCGAAGTTAATTTATTCTGAGGCGATGGAAATGCAAGATAAATCCCTAATTGTACTTCACTTTTATTTGAGTTGGGGTGAACGAAATGAGATTTGTGGAAAATGACGCCACTTCCCGTGTTAGCCGCTGGTCGTATCATACAGCCCATATTCCATTGCAGGTGATGGGCGAACGTTCGTGTTGAGATCCGCTGAGTTTCCTCGTACTCGTGGAGTTGAATTTGTGGCAGAAATTGCACTGAATTGCAGTCAAATGGTTGTGAATGAAACTAGATTTGTGGAAAATGACGCCACTTCCCGTGTTAGCCGCTGGTCGTATCATACAGCCCATATTCCATTGCAGGTGATGGGCGAACGTTCGTGTTGAGATCCGCTGAGTTTCCTCGTACTCGTGGAGTTGAATTTGTGGCAGAAATTGCACTGAATTGCAGTCAAATGGTTGTGAATGAAACGAGATTTGTGGAAAATGACGCCACTTCCCGTGTTAGCCGCTGGTCGTATCATACAGCCCATATTCCATTGCAGGTGATGGGAGAACGTTCGTGTTGAGATCCGCTGAGCTTCCTCGTACTCGTGGAGTTGAATTTGTGGCAGAAATTGCACTGAATTGCAGTCAAATGGCTGTGAATGAAACGAGATTTGTGGAAAGAGACGCCACTTCCCGTGTTAGCCGCTGGTCGTATCATACAGCCCATATTCCATTGCAGGTGATGGGCGAACGTTCGTGTTGAGATCCGCTGAGCTTCCTCGTACTCGTGGAGTTGAATTTGTGGCAGAAATTGCACTGAATTGCAGTCAAATGGTTGTGAATGAAACGAGATTTGTGGAAAATGACGCCACTTCCCATGTTAGCCGCTGGTCATATCATACAGCCCATATTCCATTGCAGGTGATGGGCGAAAGTTCTTGTGGAGATCCGCTGAGCTTCCTCGTACTCGTGGATTTATGAACTTGTGTCAGAAATTGCACTGAAATTGCAGTCGAGTGTGTGTGTTGTGAGTGAATCGCAACAGCTCCCTTCCTTCAGCATCGTCAAAACGCAACATACAGCATTATTACGCACTCGTTCCATGATTTATGATATTGCCTGGATTCTTTTAAAAACAATCAATGTGTGTTCCCTATCTATCTACAACACTTTTCTACTCGTATACTGAGTACGCGGTGACTTTAGCCGTTTAGGAAACGGAAGGCTCAGCCTCCAGGTTGGCCAGAAAGGTTCTCAGTGAATCTAACCGAAGTCTTGGCGAGTGTACAAAAGGTAAACCTATCATTTGTTTTTCATAACGGAATTGTGCACAAAAATGCGCACGCACGCACGCGCGCGCGCACACACACACACACACACACAAACACTGTGCAAACACACAGAAAAGTACAAGCACATGTGCACATACACACGCCCCCCCCCCCCCCCCACACACACACACTGTCAACTCCCCACTCCCTGTACCATGTGTACTGAGTCTGACAAAATCATGTTTATGCTTCCTTCGCCACCAGTTTCGGATAATGGTGTCAACAACGAGTCGTAAAATATTGGTATTTTAGGACTCCCTGCCCTGAAAACGAGCACAGCGCCGTGGATTGAGCAGATCCGGCCGCGCCGGCCTAGCGTGCTTCACTTTCTGGCCGAGGCAAACATCGTCCGCGTGCGCGCATCCCGTGTCCTCTCCCGGGCTTTTACGACTCCCTGTAGAAAACTTATCTCACGCGTTTTCATCGGGCTTGCAGCAGGTTTGAAGATACACAACCTGGCAGCACCACTGTATTGTGCCAAACCCCAAAAATTTATAGGTAGGCCCAAACTTCTGGCCAACACTGTAGGCGCGACTTCACACAACAACAACAGTTACTAATGTTGCTTCCGCAGCATGACATGCGCTATATGCCACGTGATATGACCACCCATAACTTTTTGGCATAAGCTAAACCATTGCTTCGGCGACCTGATCAGCAAGGGAGAAATCCATGCTGCCCTCTCACTCATCGACAGGCATGATCACTCGAGGTCAATTGGGACGCAACCTTCCCCTCCCCCTGGCCCACAGTGCTTCTGGCGCATGCCTGGAATGGCCTGCCCGACTGTATGAAGTCCATAGTATCTGTCCGTGAATTCACACGCATGCTACGCGTATTTTACTTCGGCTAAATGTAATGGCTTTCGTAACCTGCTGATGAGGCTCGATAGAATCATGCTACAATGACCGGACTTGTAAATTTGAGATCCATTTTTTCTGCTCGTCTTGACCCTGCCTCCCCTCATTGCTACTTCCATTTTCGTATTTTTTATTTCCTTTATTTTTCTCTTCATTTCTGACTCTTCTTACTGGTTGTCATCGCTTTCATAATATTGGGCAGAACTGCCCGTTTGCCATGCTATGTAAAATAAATAAATAACAACAACAACAACAACAACAACAACAACTCATCACCGAGCATGGAAAGGGAGGAGTACTGGAACTAACTCCGCAGGTCCGTGAAGCTCTGAAAGCCAAGCACTCCAACGCCCAGCCAGTGGATCCTGACGTACTAACACAAGGCGAGGTGCCCACAGTCCACCCCATTCTCTTTGAGACCCTCACAGGCGAAGTGGTCCGCGAAACCGCGCTTGCCGCATACGGGGAGCTGCGGGCCCCTCTATGGGCGATGCCTACGTCTGGAGGCGCATGCTAGTGTCTTTCAAGGCAGCATCAACGGAGCTTTGCCATGCGGTAGCAGAAGTCTCACCACATCTGGCTACAGCAGCTGTTGACCCGGTGGGACTCAACCCTCTCCTCAACAACCGGCTAATTCCATTGGACAAGGATCCTGGGGTCCGGCCTGTGGGGATCGGTGAGGTCTT